ACAGGAGGGAGTAGGAAGCCAAATGCTGCAGCAGAGCAGGTCAGTTGCTCCAGACATGCGTTAATGGAAGAAAGACTGTCCCAAACAGTGATGCACAGTTTAAGTCCTTCAGGATCCAGATCTGCCAAAACCTTCAGTGGCCTGAGGTCCTGGTGTCACAACTGCAACCCATGCTACTGTTCATGGAGTTGTTTAGGGCAGTGTATTTCAGCTTGTTAGAGTAGGGCTGGTAAATTCTTCACAATGCTTTGATGAAAAATTAAAGTGTACAATAATGGAAAACGTATTCAAATTCCTACTTCTAGTAAAACGCACTAGAAATTCACATTGAAATCAGTTGGTAGTGGTCTATGGAAAGCTGCATAGATGTAACAGTGGTTAGGAGAATGTGGGCAGACATGCAGATTGGGGAGAGGGCTCAGTGCTGGGAGTCTTGCAAGGGGATATTTGGCATGCTTAATGGTGGGACAGAGTGTCAAACATGAAACCTGTACAGGACCCAGCAGGTAATGGTCCTGAATACTGCAGTGCACAGCTGTTATGTAAATGACACAAAAAAAAAATAGGAATAGCAGATGCCACATATGCCCAAGGTAGAGGAACAAGTGTATTATACCCTTAATCTGTACTGAGGTCCATTGCACAAGGTGAGCCCATCTTGGGACTGGTTGTTTACATGCATCACAGAGCTTGAGGGAAAAGAAAAGAAAAAAAAGCCGGAAGATAAAATTACATCATGGTCATAGGGGGAAAATAGCTTTATTGAGTGACCAATATATTTGAATTAAATGGCTGACATTCTATGGGTTTTCACTGCATTGTGAAGAACATTATATTGAAATGTGGTGAAAAGTACTAAATTGATGTGGCAGCTGCACTCGTGATTTTCTAGTTTTATTTTTCATGCATATATTGACTTTTAATAGTGCAGATTGTTTACCACTTTCCTGTGTGCGTACCCAGCTTTAGTAGTTCTGTAAATCCTCAGGAGGGCAAGTGGTTAAAGTAGAAGTCAATTTTTATGAAAGAAGGTAAGGAAAGAGGGTATTTATGAAAGAAGAGACCCTATAGGTCTATGCTGCAGTGATGAGACTCCCGTGTGCATGCATGGTAGTTACATCACAGCCCGGCCTATAGCAAGGCTGAAGGCATGGGACCCAGAAAGCTGGCAGAATAAAGATGGAAGCACCGAGGACTCTCCAGATCTCACAGCAACACTGGAGGGAACCAATTGACAGGCAAGTCAGCCACAATGTGTTAATATGCCTGCATACTAACATTATGGCATAACCCACCGGGGGGACAACAAAATTAAAAAAAATTTACAGTGGCGTTTACTACCACTTTAAGCTTGTGCAGTATATTAGGTCTCTGCTTAATGTACCTCAGGTCAAAATTTGAACTTCCAAAAATCTGATAAGTGGCAGCAAGATGAGGATGGATAAAAATCAATGATTAAAAAAAAAAAAAAAAAAAAAAAAAAAGATTTAAATCGGATTTTTTTTTTTTTTTTTTATAACATGCTTTGAGGAAAAAAATATATTACCATCCAAAAGTTATTCCATCATGAAATAAAGATTAGTTTATGTATGTATAATAAGGCTGTATATGGTTAATTTTTTTGGTAAATAAATTCCATTAATCCATTCACAATGTCATGCTCTTCCAGAGGTTTTTGTGAGATTATTGGGCAGTTTCTCTGCCTACAAGATATTATCACAGATGCTTGGTTTATTTTTGCAGTTCTCAAAACTGAATTTGACTCAGCGGAGATCACATGCCTCTTCTTCACAGCAAAAATGTTATAACATGAACAGAGTTAAGAAAAAGACCTTAATCCTAACTTCTACAAACCTATGAATACAGAATCAACCCCTTCAGTGCTAAGTTTCAAGAAGTTCAGTGAATAGAATCAATATTTTTCTGATTGTTTGGAGTGGAATAGATCTGCACAAGACGAAAGTGAAACTAAGTGTGAGGAGGAAGGGGCTAACGGTCTAAGTTTCTTAAAATATATATATTTTGTTTAGCCAAAATTAGTTAAACATGGATGTTTAAACAAATAACATGATGTAATGTTATTGTTTCAGTTGAATAAATTTATTTAAATTATTATTAAGGTAATGATTACTTTTCTCCTTCCTAAGTACAACAGAAAAGTTGTCCAAATATGAATGATTAACCTATTAAACTGGGGATAAAAAAAAAAACTAATATGAAAAGTTATACCAGCAAGAATTAGTCTTTATGTAGAAAACTATGATTTAAATCAAATCCACCCTGAGTGTCTCTCTCTCTCTGGTTAAAAATGGTTTTGCAATTGTTGATTTAGAAATAAATGCATGGATAATTGCCACAGTAATATTTTGAAAAACAGAAGGAAAGATCCACAAAGGCCGACCCATGTGAATGAGATGAATGGCAGCCATAGCCTGCACTCCAGCCAGACCATGACCCAAAAACATGTTTCACTCCATGAATTGAAACATGTTTGGGACATGGCCTGGCTAGAGTCCAGGCTGAGGGTGCCATTCATCTCACCTCATGCACATAGGTCTGCGGCGTATGGATCTTTCCTTCTGGCATTGCTGAAGCTTGGAGCACAGGCTCCCTATTCCTACCAGTACTCACAGCGATCTAGTTTGGACTTCACCTCCCTACCTGAGCACCTAGTCTTGTCTTTTTGGGTCACAATATTTTCAAAAGGCTAGTCTCTGGCATTCTAATTCAATACTTCACTAACCCAAAACAATTAAATACAGATCAGGAATTTCTACTTTATTTACCATCAGCGAACCAGTATAGAAGCCAGGGGGGGAAGGCTGTAGATTTAACAGAGGCCTCCATACTGCTTAGCTTGGCATTCCATCAATCTTAAAATGTTTACAGACAGGTACCCCTTTAATTTAGATCATGTAGAAAAATACTCAACTTTTAATATCAGCTCACAAAGGAGGGGCAAGATAGGAACTTTACACCTCAACAGCTAACACTAAAAACTATTTTACCCATAAATAGCAGACAAAGCAACCGGCTTGTTCTGGCACATCACCAACATTGCTTTATAACAGCATAAATTTCTGTTCAGCAACTACGCACAGGTGAACTATTTTTAGGCTGCCAATATACTGCAGTAGGTTATGACAAGTTTGTGTAGAAAAAAAAACAATAGAAAATGTACAGATCCTTGAGATAGTCTCACTCCACCCCCCACAAAAAAAAAAAAAAAACCTTCACAATTTAGTAAGAAAATGAACTTTCTAGACAAGGACAGCTTTCTACCAAGGATGTATCCAGCCAAAATTTCATTTAAAAAAAAAAAAAAAAAAAAAAAAAAAAAAAAACACACTATCACTTGAAATCAAATACATACAAGCCAGCTTTTAACAAAAAAATCCAGCACACACTTATTTGCATCACCTTTATTACATTTAGCTTTAAAAACATCCCATTTAAACACTAAAAAAAAAATACAAATCTATTTTTCACTCGTGATTATAAAGTGCATATTTCTATCCCCCAATGACGTGTACAAAAATTTTCTTCTTAAAACACCTACATGCAGAGGAGAAAAAAAAAAATAATTATACATACACATCAAACAAGGCACTTCTAGTTTGAAGACACTAGGGGTTGAGTTACACATCTCCACAAACAGTCACAGAAGGCAATCCCATCTTACAACTAAAAAGACAGTTTTTGCCTCTGTTCATGGCTATCAAGAAAGGTTTTTCTTTTCCCCAAAGTTCAAGAAGAACGTGTTACACTCACTGTTCCTCTGTACCAGAAAACGGATTAGGTAGAGTTTGTTGTACAGTAGAATTTTACTCACAAAATACTGGTCTTTAAATACACATCTTGGAGGGAAAAAAAAAAAAAATAAAAAAAATTGTGCAAGCTTTAAAAATGCCAAAACAAAAAAATGGGGTCTACTTGGTTCACAAAGATGCAATTTCCATTATTTCATCACATATAAACTGGGCAGGAAATGCATCAGCAAGCTAATGATTATCCAAGTTTTCCAGTCTTGGACACTATGGTAAATGTATTTTGCAGTGGTCTTCAGTGAACCTAAAACCAATAAAGTCAATTTCCAACCGCCCCGGTTACTTTCCACCATAAAATTCATGAGACATTAGAAATGCATTAAATAAAGTTACTAAAAACATATGCAGATACAGTTGTAGATAATGTGTCTATCACTGAGTAGTGTTATTTGTGGCCAGTCAAGAAGATAAAACCCTCCACAAAATACAGCAAACTATGCAACAGTCAATTTTTAAAGGAAAAAAAAAAAACCCTCATACAAGCAGCCTTAAAAAATCAGCCAAATAGTGCATTGAAAGTATGCAGTGAACGATCAAAGTGTACAATTTAAGGCACATATTCATAAGTGACTTTTAAAAGGGATTAAAAAATACCACCACAGTTTCACATGATTGATTTGAAGTAACAGCACAAAGTTGTTAATCAAATCAAAAAACAGTAATACTCGTGAAACACGAGAGGTCTACAATGTACAGGACTCGTGCAAACCACCAAATGTGATCTATTAAACAGTTGCATGTGCACAGGTCAAGGTGGTGCTAATGAAAAAAGGCAGATACCTTTGTTCCAGCAGACTTAACACATTTTACCTGAGAAGAACCAGCAGAAAAATTCGAATAGCCATAATTTCTGCCACTAGAACACATCCTTAACACAGGTACTGCATAGGACATCATTAAAAAAAGGTAAGAAAACCATAACAAAGCTGAAAGTTTATGTAGAACTGAAGCAGCATTAGGAAGGTAAAAGTTTAGCAGCATCTTCCCATTTTGACTCCATTCATTTTAAAGAATGTGCTACTTTGGACATTTTAAAAGGATGTCAGTGTAAATTTTCAATACACATTACAATTTTGCTGTAATCTAGTATACGTTCTGAAATTTGCTTCAGTTCAACATGTACGAAATCCCACCATATACCAAGTCTACATCATAACAGTTCTTCATCCTTCATTAGTAGTAGGGCCCTTGTTTATCAAACCCAGAGTAGCTAGACCACTCCGGGAATATGCCATAAGAGCACCTGGGACTCCCGAACTGATCCAAAGAAGCGTTATAATCAGGTTCACAGTGGCGATTTTGAAAGTCAGACCGAACAATTCGGTAATTTTGTCCTTTATTACTATCCCAGTATGTTTTACCCTTGCATTCAAAACAGATCGCAAATTCTATCCTCTCTTGAGGCTTAACATCTGGAAGAATAAGATCAAATGAGAAAGTGTCCCTATCAGTCCCTGCATATGTGTCTTTAACATAGTAGCATTCGTGGTCCGTAAAGCTCTGCCAAGAATTGTGCGTCATTCTTATTTTGACGCTTTCTCAAAGGCAAGATTTTTGACCTTTATAGTGCCAACAAGGGCCCGCTCCTTGAGTGTGCAGTTTTCAAGACAAACACTGTCTGCCTGAAGGCGGTTCCTGAAGTCCAGGTAATCTGCAGCAGGTTGTTCAAAATCCAAAACCAGGTGTTCTTTCTCTAAAGTGGTTAAGTTGACTATGTTGTCAATCAGTTCTGTGATGTTAAAGGGAATTTCCAGAGGGTCATCAAGCTCCGAATAGACTTTTACCATGGTAAGGGCTAGACCTCTGCTGTCTGCAAAGGAAACCCGTTTTTTCACTTTATTCTCTTGATTTAACTCAGTTAGCAAGGATTTGTCATTTGGTTGAATGCATGGCCTCAATGGCTTGTTCATTTTAGGAGCAATCCTATATTCCAGATGGTCTCCATTTAATGCAGTTGAACCCAAGTAGAACTTCATAGCAATGTCCACTGCCATGGTTGTCTTATGGGGAAAAAAGTCCAGAACACTAGAGAATAGAAAAAATAATGTAAAATTTCTAAGAAATATTGTTTCTCCCTTTCATCTAAAATGGCAAGTAGCAGGCTAGCATGCCTAAAAATTAAAGTGGTATTAAACCCAAAAGCAAAAACTCTTAATATATTGCAGCTTACCAATTCTCAGATGTGATGGCTGCAGTGGTTCTCTTTTTTTAGGCTCTCATTTTGTGATTTGGCCAATATATTTGCTTTTCAAACAGAACAAGCTGTGTAGTCTTGCATAATACAGGAGGCGTGTTACTAGCCAGATCACCAGGTGAGAGTGAAAACCCAGAAGATTGTATCCCCTTCATGATCAGGCCACTTTTGCTATTCAGTACTGCACTACTTTAACCGGCAATTGTCTGGTCATGCAATATTGTACCCAAATTCATTTTATTCACACAGAGCTCTTTTGATGGCATTTGATCACCGCTGGGTTTTTATGAACATTATGTGTGAATGTTGTAGCATCTATGAAATAAAACACACATACCAAAGTATTTAGTAAGAGGCGTGGTGATTTTTACTGAAGTTGTTTTTTTGGAAAATTAAAAAAAAAAAAAAAAATAGTTTACATACCATCACCAGCGCAGTACAGCGTCATGACTGGTGTGGCAGTAATCAGGAACACTAACTGGTGACCAAGTATGAAAAAAAAAAAAATTTAAGTTTTAAAACTTCCTTTACAATCTTTCATCAATGTCACCATAGCAACAAGGGGGGGGGGGTTGAGAGATTGGATTTACATTCATGACAGTTGTGATTCGGGATCTATCATTGGCCACAGCTAAATCACAATGGTACAGGGTCCTAGGATTGGCCTAGGTACCATGTGATAGCTGTGGGCCAAATCACAGCTCACTGGTATGGGAAAGCAGAGCTGTTATGAATGACATTCATTCAGCTTTGTTGACACTGATCACATCTGTGCAGGCTGGATAGCAAATGTGCATGATCCAGCCTGCATGTGTTGCTCACCTTCAGTAAGCATAAAGTGGGCAGTTGGTGGTGTTAAAAAAAAAAAAAAACAAAAAAACAACACAACCCCACACATGAATGCATCCACCACATCATCCAATGATTGTTCAACTGCAATATCACATTTGTTTTTGGTTTACCACCACTTTAACCAAAGCCAGCTTCCCTGGATTCAGTACAATTGGGCCATGGAGGCTTGATTTTTAGCTTAGATGTATGCATGGAAATTTACAGTCATGGCCAAAAATATTGGCACCCTTGCTTTCCATCAGAATGCACCACCTCGTCCAGAAAGTTGTTGCAATCACAAAACGTTTAGACACTCATGTTTCTTGTTTGTATTACTATGACACAAAAGTGGAGAAACAAAAAGCCAAATCTGACATTCCACACAAAAACCCAAAAAGGAATGGACAAAATTGGCACCTTCTCAAAACTGTAAAAAATAATTGCATTCCAAGTTTGCGATGCTTCTGTATTTGTAATTAAACTCACCGGTATCAATTAACAGATGACATTGACAATATAGAAAATCACACCAGCAAACAGTTAAAATGGTGGGGAAAAAAAAAAAAAAAAAAAAAAAAAAAAAAAAAAAGGACTTAACCTCTATGTGCCACATGGAGTATGGAGAAGAGAGAGAAGCAAAGAACTGAGGATTAGAGAACAAAAACTGTGGAAAAGCATGAACAATCTCAAGGTTACAAGTCCATCTCCAGAGATCTTAATGCTCGTGTCCATTGTGCGCAACATTGTCAAAAAGTTTACAGCCCATGGCACTGTAGCTAATCTCCCTGGATATGGACAAAAGAGAATAACTGATCAAAGATTGCAAGAAAGGATTGTCCGAATTGCAGCTAAAGAACCTAAACTTCCAGACAAACATAAGCTGACCTGCAGGCACAGGGTACAACCGTGTCAGCTCATACTATATGTCGCCATCTGAATGAAAAAGGGACGCTATGGTAGGTGACCCAGGAGGACCACACAGCTGACAAACAAAAAAGCCAGAGCTTGCCAAAACTTACCTGAGGAAGCCAAGATCCTTCTGGGAGGACGTGTTGTGAACTAAAAAAAAAAAAAAAAAAAAAAAAAAATTACAGCTTTTGGATAAAGCCCATCTTTCGGTTTTCAGAAAAAAAAAAAAAAAAAAAAAAAAGAATACAGTCAAACATGGTGAAGGTTCACTGATTTTGGGTTGCCTTGCTGCTTCCGGCACTGGATGTCTTGACTGTGTGTGGATGGCATTAGGAAATCTGAAGACTACCAAATAATTCTAGGGTGCAATGTAGGGCCTGGTGTCAGAAAGATGGGTTTTGTAGCAGGGCATATGTCAAAAAGCACCCAGAAATGGTTTCAGACAAAGAGCTGGGAGAGTACTGAACTGGAAATCAATAAGTCCAGATCTCAATCCCAAAGGAGCACCTGTGGAGACATCTCAAAACAGCCGTTGGGAAAAAGGAAGCCTTACAATCTGAGAGACCTGGAGCAGTGAAGTGGTCCAAAATTTCAGTAAAGGTGTAAAACTCATTGATGGTTACAGGAAGCGATTGATTTCAGATATTTCTTCCAAAGTGTGTGCTACCAAATCTTAAATTGAGGGTGACAATTTTGTCCAGTTAATTTTTGGGGTTTTGCGTGGAATGTGTCCGATTCTCCACTTTGGTGTCCGTTTATGACACAGAATAGCTGCGATTCAACGGATCTCAGCTATTCTCTGGTCACAGTTTATGACACTCAGGAGATCCTGTCAGCCCTTCTCTGGAGATCGGTGTTCTCCCTCCAGATTCTCCAGCCCAGAGCTGGAGAATCGGAGGGACCGCAAACTAAGCAGAGATAATTTACCTCTGTTTAGTAAACTGATCTTTTACTGTAATCTCATGAGATTATAGTAAAATGAGCCGTGTTCCAGAGTTTGTAGACCGTTCTCCAGCGTTTGGAGACCGTTCTCCCTTCATTCTGAGAACTGCTTCATAAACTGCATTCACAGGAGAACTGTGTTCTCTGAGAATGCCAGAGAACTGAGCAGCGATCTATTACTGCTGGTTCATAAACGGACACCTTTGTGTAATACAAACAAAAGAAAAAAACATGAGAATGCCTAAACATTTGTAATTGCAACAATTTTCTGGATGAAGTGGTGCATTATCTGACAAATGCAGAGGGCTTATTTTACCTTAGAGTGGTTCTAAAGACAGAAGTTTTTTTCTCTCCTCATTGGCCCACACAGCAGCGGGGGCCGTTCACAGGAGCACGACTCAAGGGTGTGCCTGCTCAAGTACCCCCATAGCAAAAGCTTGCTATTGGGGGACTTTGTAGGGGGAAGAAGGAGCCAGAACCACCAGTGGGGGATCCAAAAAGAAGAGGATATCGGGCTACTCTGTGCAAAAAATTACACAGAGCAGGTAACTTTAATTAACCTTTAGAATCACTTTAAAGCCCATCTTCAGCCTTCCCTTCAGTCTTGGAGTTGTACAGACCTTTTCTGTACTGAAATGGTATACTCCAATTTCATTGCATTCAGATTCTCACAATGCCGCCAGAGCAGTTTTTGCACCCCCCCAAACATGATATATTTTCTGAAAGCAGACACCCTAGAGAATAGTGGTAGTTCCAATTTTTCTTGTTACATATTACTGCAAAAGGTCTAGAAAATGCTACATTTCAGTAAATAAAAACACAATGAATTTTAGGACAAGCAAACAATAAATTACCCAAAAATTTTGGTAAAATATAAAGATATGAGGTTGCGTCGAGTAAACAGATACCCAAAATGCCAATCGAGGGTAGACAAATATAAGCAGATTAAATTTCAGTTTGTTTTAAAGTTACTTGCTACACTCAGGAATGTTCAATACATGAATATGGAAGTTAACCTGGCCAGATGCTGGATAGAAACCAAAACACAAGCGACATGTCAGTCACTGCAAAAACAAAGCAAAAACAAAAACAGTCTTATACACATAGCCATTGTTTAATCCAGTCCCCCAATTTTAGTTTTTGCAAACCAAAATTAAACAATCTGTACAAAGTTTTTGCAGCTTTCATGAACACACACACACACCAAGTCAGAAATGAAGCACTGCAGGGAGATTACAGGCAATACTGGTAACTAGACCTTCACTTGCATTTTTTGGCACAGCTTCCACACTTCAGGTCCTCTTTAAAACAACCTTCAGTCAAATTCAGCTGCAGGTTGCATAACACGTTTTGCCACTTCCTATTTGAAAGCAATCTCTAGACATCCCCTTTTTAACATTTTAAAACCAGCTCTCAGTTGTGTCAGATTACCTAGACATAAAGTAGACCTCCACTTTGTAGGACATTGTGGGTGTATCCAGCCCCATCTCTCTACAGCAGTGGTTCTCAACCTGGGGGTCGCGACCCCTTTGGGGGTCGAGCGACCCTTTCACAGGGGTCCCCTAAGACCATTGGAAAACACATTTCTAATGTGTAAAAGCAGCTACTGTGCTGAAAGAAGCTACTGTGCTGAAAGCAAGAAGCAGTATTGGAGGTAAAACGACACTCATGAATTATAATTACTGGGTAAATAATTTTATGGTTGGGGGTCACCACAACATGAGGAACTCTATTAAAGGGTCACGACATTAGGAAGCTTGAGAACCAGTGCTCTACAGCAACTGAATATTTTCATTTATGAGCTTCCTTTCTTTTTTTGTGCTGTAGGGCAGCATTTCCTCCTCTCTCTCCTAAGAAAATTAAGTTCAGAAGAGGTCCAGGACCTCTTTTTCTGAGTAAGCCCATTTCAGCAAAGTAATATTTCGAAATACAACATCTTCTGGAAATAAAGCGCACACAAAAAAAAAAAAAAAAAAAAAAAAAAAGGATACAGATGATATGACACATCCCGATCTATGGAATAATCCAGTGCGGATTGGCCATTACATCTGGTTTCTAGCTCCCCCTCATTATGCATGTCGAGTTTTCAGTACATAACTTAGTTTAGACCCAGTATCATCAATGGGTCTCTGTGCTTCTTTATGCAATGTAGGCAGGATTATGGCTGAAGGAGGAAATGTTGGGTTACTCTACATTACTTTCTGAAAACATTACAGTACCCTGCCTCCATACTCATCTCAAGAGCCCTCAGCTATGTTGCAAGCAGTAGGCTGGCTATGGAGAAGTTATGCCTATCTCAGGAAAGCAAGATGTGCGGGTGTCAGCATGGAACAGTGGATGTTTTTATGCCGACTGCCTTTGCTGTGGACCCTCAATGATTGAAAGAAGCAGACCAGGGACAGTCAGAAAAGTACTAAATGTTGGACATCCACCAGCTGAGAAATAAGACCCACGTGCTGCAGCTTCGAATGCACACTGTGGGAAACTTAGTGTCCAGCAAGATCAGAGTCAGCATTTTGAGAAGCCAATGCAATTGTATGCAATCTACTAGCGGCTAAAACCAATGGATACTATTCTGTACTCCTGCCTTTCAAACCATATGGTGGATAACATGTTCTGTGCTGGGGCACACACAAGCACATATTGATCTCTATCCATTAAAGATCAAACCATTTGGTAAGAGGCCATTTGTTTTTGGTGGAGGACACAGCATTTCACTTTTTTGTAGATGGATGTTTGTCACAGGACTACAGTTGATTCACCCATTTGTTGATGGATTGCTTTGCATCTTAGCATTATTAGTTTGTTCACTCAAGCACTTGACTATGCAAAACTGTTTATTAGTGTATTATTTTATTCATAGAATATTCACTTATCATAGGTATTTATATTATGTGAATAGTGTACTATTTGTGCCATATACATATATATTTTTTGCAGCATTGTTCGGGCTGATATTGGTTGCAAAATAATATATATATATATATATATATATATATATATATATATATATATATATATATATATATATATATATATATATATATATATTTTTTTTTTTTTTCCATCTTTTTAAACACTGGAATTTCACTAAAGTGCAGGATATACCACTACAATTTTTTTTTTTTTTTTTTTTTTAATTTAGATATCCTCCACAGGTATTACCTTTTGTATATCTTGACCCCCCCCCTGCCCCCCTCTTGGATTGTAAAGCTCTAAATGAGTGGAGCCCTTGGTTTCCTACTGTATTAAAAATTGTACTGCCTGCCCTTTTGTTGTAAAGCACTGCGTAAACTGTTGGCATGCTATATACAGTGCATTTAAAAAGTATTCATACCCCCCCTTGAAATTTTCCACATTTTCATGTTACAACCAAAAACGTAAGTGTGTTTTATTGGAATTTTATGTAATAGATCAACAAAAAGTGGCACATGTGAAGTGGAAGGAAAATGATAAATGGTTCAACATTTTTTACAAATATCTAAAGTGTGGCATACATTTGTATTCATCCCCGAGTAAATACTTTGTAGAACTACCTTTCACTGCAATTACAGCTGCAAGTCTTTTTGGGTATGTTTCTACCAGCTTTCCACATCTAGAGAGTGAAAGGTTTGCCCATTCTTTGCAAAAAAAGCACACTTTTCAGATTTGTAAAAAAAAATTGAAAACCATTTATCATTTTCCTTCCACTTTACAATTATGTGCCACTTTGTGTTGGTATATCACATAAAATCCCTATACAATACATGTTTTTGGTTGCAACATGACAAAATGTGGAAAATTCTAAGGGGTATAAATACTTTCAAGGCACTGTAAATCCTTTACAGTAGTAGTACAGGGGCATTGAATTTGTATCGCCCGGGACATGCAGTTCCAGGCGCCAGAGTTCCCCCCCCCCCCCCCCCCAACCTTTAGCCCTGCTCACCAAGCAGTCACCACCTGTCAGGTGAAAGTATTCGGGTGGCTGTGCTGCCACCCGATTGCTTTCACACAGCCCACTATGGTGCCAGCCTCCACCCCCTCCCGTGCAAACCTCCTCTCGTCTGCTATGTCTCCTGGGCTCTGCTTGCCCATCTACAGGCCCATGACCGATTCAGCGTGTACCGGTGACTAGAGAGGAGGGAGGAGAGAGTGCACACGTCACAATGTCACTTCCAGGTCCCTATCCACATATTTCCTGGCCATTGAGGCTGGAAAAGAGTGTAATGTACACTGCATTACATTGAGGGGAGACATACAGGGTCTTTTAGACCCTGCATGACTAAATAAGGAGAACCTGTCTCCTTATCACATACGGTAATCACATAGGGGACTGACGCAAAAAAAAAAAAAAAAAAAAGTTTAATTGTAAAAAATTAAAGTTACACCCAAGCACATAACCTCAAACAAAAAATTTGAGGCCCACCCACATACAAACACAAAAGCACACGCTGGGGTGCCTATGCATGAAAACGTTTATTGCGGTACATGTTACATATCACCGTGCAAGCCAGAATGAGAGCAATAATTCTAGCACAAGATCTCCTCCATAAAACTATACTGATGACCTATAAAAGGACTTTAAAAGAGTCACCTATAGAAAATATAGGGTGATTAAGTTTGTTGCCATTTCACAAGTACACGCACATTCAAGGCTTGACATGTTGGATATCTATTTACTCAGTGCAACCTCATCTTTTATATTTCACCAAAAAATAGGGAAATTACTTTTGTGCCCTAAAATTAACTTAAATTGTATTTTTTACTGAAATTTTTAATTTCCGAGACAGTTGCGGTAATATCGTGTGACATGAAAAATTGGGACTACCTCTATTTTATTCTCTAGGGTCTCTGCTTTCAGAAAATATATGTTTGGGGTTTTTGTATAATCTTCAAGCCTAAAACGTGTGCAAAAAATACAAAAATAACTAGCAGCGAAAGGGATAAAGGATAAGCCAGACACTCCCCTTTCTTGGGGATCACCCAATCAGTGCTCATTACACTGGAAAGGTCTCTCCCCTCCCCGCTAGTCCCTGGCTGCGGCTCTGGAGACAGGCAGGGAGGGAAGGAGGAGATATACAGCGCAAGGTTAAAACATTAAATATTTAAGTCACCATAAAGCCCCAGGCATTCTTAAAAGCACTTCAGATTTAAAATATGGTTTTGGTTAAAATTTTTTTTAGACTGTCACGTGGGACAAAGTAGATTGGGATCCAGATTTAGTCCCTGGAGAAGTATTTTTTTAAAGAATTTCCACACCCCTGGTAATAATTCAAAACTGACGACAAGGCTGGAATTCAGCTTTAAAACAAACATGTACATCACCCAAGTAGAATGTACTTACCTTACTTTTCCTTCCATGACCTTTCCATTCAGCCTCTGGGAGCAAGAAAAGTAGCCTTGTTTAAGCTCCAAGTCACTCTACTCAATGTTTGCACAGGGCTGACAATTCTTTCTGCCACCGACTGTGCTAGGCCAAAAGTTCTGCGATTCATTCTCTGCTCTTACGGCAGATGCTCCTCCTTAATATCTGGACACTCGGGATACATTCTTTGCTCCCAGCAGCTGGTGGAAGAGTTAAGCGCTGTGGGAAAGGGGAACACTGATGTCAATCTGCTGCTTTGTCCATGCGGGGCAAAACGTAGGTTTGCGTTAGTACATTCAGCTTGGTACCCTAGTCATGTGAAGCCCTATCACTTATAATAATATATAGCCATCACACAGAAGATACAAGTATGGCACTATAAGCTTGTTTATAATGACTTAATTGTGAGACAGCTTTTCTATGCTACCTTGATACTTTTATCCAGAGGCTGTATTTTAGTGTCATATTCATATGTGCGTCATATTCTAAATGAAAGGTGAGACTCAATTCTGTAATCTCATTGCAAACATACATTTTACTTTATCTGAATTATAGAGTAAAGCCTACACCATTTGAAAAGAAAGCAAAAAAAAATAAATATATATATCCATCCATTACCTGGTTGAGCTCATCTGTGATGTAATCCAGGGCATTTAAACTCACATGAACAGCCACGTTTAAGATGGAAAGGAAAATTTTAAAAATAAAAATGTGAAGCGGTCCGTTGTCTGTAAAAAAAAAAGAAAACCGGAAATTAAACACGTATACAGTAACACACCCCTCTCCGGTTATACAATGTAATGTGAACGTTCTGTGTCAGCTTTCAGTTTCACATGAACCATTGTGTCACTACCACCTAGTGGACACCATGATTTGTCTACATCTCATTCTAACGCTGAATAGGTCTCTGATCTCAAAACCTCTATAGCTCCCTGTGCAAAGATAACATTGACCTGAACCCAACTACTACAATCATTCCAATAAAGTGAAAATGAGAAATTAGAAACATTTCATACAACTTACTATGTCCACAGTGTTGATGGCGTAAGCAGAACAGCATTTAGCAGCCATGTTTTAGTCTCTGTTCAGGCTCCTATGCCATCACAATTCCATCAATGAGGAGTATACATGATGCATGTGATCCAAAGATCAGGAGGCATTTAGTATTTATTGCAACTAATTTATTCATTATCACATACACAAATGTCTAGCCTATTTTATCCACTCTTCCCAACTCAGCCCTACGGACAAAGTAAAAGTTCACCCTAGAATTAGCCAATACAAAAAAAAACAAAAACAAAAACAAAAAAAAAAAAAAAAAAAAAAAAAAAAACACACTTTAAGCAGACAAAGAACACTTTTGTTCATAAAATGCATAGTGCAATGTTTGACTTCTGTCAATGCTCCAAGGTGTCCAACAAGCAGCAATGGAAACTGAAGGCTATTACCAGGGACAATAAGAAACTTATGGTGTCATTCAGCCCCATCCATGCCACCTACATAACATGATTGAAAAGCCTCACTAGAAACAGTTTAAATGTGCTTCCTCCATGCCCTTATGAGCCAGGAAGGGAAGAGCCCACAGAAGAATGATTCCTCCAGGCACACAAATGAAGTGGATGGAGCAATTTCCCCTGCCAGGACATACTGACAGCGGCACCTGCTGCTGTCATATACTGATTAGCAATGGTTGTTGACTGAGCAAATAACATTTTCTAATAGGTTACTTTGGCAGAAGCACTTTCACTTCAGGATGCATAAAAGCATGCTTAAGTGCCAAGGAGCAGGGACCTCTAATCCCTCTTGTATTGAACTGTATTGTTACTGTACTGTCTCCTGTTATATTGTAAAGCACTGAGCGAACTGTCGGTGCTATACAAGTCCTGTATAATAATAATAATAATGCTTAAAAAAAAATCTGCATGTCTTTCAGCCAACTTCAAGCAACTTTCTTGAATCGGTTAAAGCACCCTTCAGCTCCAGTGTGGGGATGTTAAATCTGGATGGGAGATCTGTTGCTTTAAACAAGCTCCTATGCATTCAGAAGGCTTCAGTACTACTAGCAGCTCGTTTAAAGCAGCAGTCAGCACACCCATTAGAAGGATTCTAAAGACACACGAGATCATGGTTCTCAGTACCCAGCTGTGAGATCATGATAACACCATGACCAATCAAAACAATCTCCTGATCATTTTCAGTCATAAACAGCTTGCTTACTGTTGCGATTGGCCCACAGCTATCATGGCACCCCATACTATGCGATTAGCTGTAGCCAATCACGGAGCGTCAACAGTAAGCAAGCTGTCCTGAACAGAGAGCCATTCATGACAGTTAAAACCATTGCTTATAACAGTGATCACTGTTATAAGCAATAACAGTATTAAAAAAAATTAAAAAATCCCAGTTTACCACTCCAGAATAGTACAGTGTCATTATGGTCTCTTGATTAACCACTTGCCGTCCGCCTGCGGTTTATAAACGGCAGGATGGTGGCACTCCAGGGGCGGGTTGCCATTCATAAACGGCACCCGCCATTTCTAGCTGTGCACGCTGCCTGGGAGCGTGCAGCACCGCGATCCAGTGCCCGCTGTGTCCTCCGGGGCACAGTGAAACACCGATCATCAGACAGGACCTCTGTACGAGGTCCCGATCATGTGATCACTGATTGGCCAATCAGTGATCACATGCAAAGTAGTAAGCAAGATGTCACTTGTGACATCATTGCTTATTACGTGTGAAATCTGTGAATGATCACAGAGGTCACATGGTACGGGGCTATTCACAACAGCCTTGTGCCATGTGACAAGCTATGACCAATCACAGCTCACTCAGTATTTCTCAATGGCTACAAGAATGCAGACAGAGAAATGATTGCCTTTACATCCTATATGGGTGTAAAAGCAACCACTGTAAGAAGAAAAAAAAAACACTTCATCACTCCCCACAAGTAGTACAGTGTCACCATGGTGACACTGTACTGCTAGGGTGACAGTATGTATAAAAAAACAAAAAAACCAAATATAAAATATAAAAATTTAAAAAAAGTTTAAAAATTATAATTTTTGGTTATAAACTAATTTGGCTTTTTTTTTTTACTAAGAATATAACGGAATACATTTTGGCCAAGATTTATGATAAAAGATTCATTTGCAAACTTTTATAAGAAAAACACTTTTCAAAATTTTTGGACTTTCATTTACATAGCAAAAAAATAAAAATCCCAGCGGTGAATAAATACCACCAAAATAAAGCTTTATCTGTCTAAAAAAAAAAAATGGTAAAAAATTTCATATGGGTACAGTGTTGCATGACCGCGCAATTGTCAAAGTGTCATAGCGCTGAAAGCTGAAAATTGCCCTGGACAGGAAAGGGGTAAAAGTGTCCAGACAGGAAGTGGTTAAAGAGAAAGGACATGTGTCCATTTACACTCGCCTATATTCTGATCCGACAACAGATGGATAGGACAGCAGTTGGATGTAAACAGACAGGTCCGTTTATATCAGATTGCCCATGGAGGAGAGCGGGATTTGTCCATGTCCACTCTGCATAAGCAGAGTGGACACAAACCTGTCATCTGCCTGCTAGCAGGGGATCAGTGGACAGATCCCTGCTGTGCAAGTGGATCGCTGGCAGAGTCCACCCCATGTAAAAGAGGCCACAAGTGTCCTGTTGGGGAGATTTCCCTTCATGTTCTGTACCAGAGACAACTACACAGAGCAGTAATAAATGGAACAGGTATCCCCAACAGAAGATTCTCTCCATTTCTGTTCTAGTGACAATTGAAACATTTTAGTTTTTCCAACACTTTCCCTAAATAAAACAATGGTCAACACCACAAAGGGTAAATCTACCTTTTGGCACTAAGATTCATACCTGCAAAGTTTCCCAAAATCCATCAACATCAAGAGTGCCATTATATTCAATGTTACCACTTCACACCTGAGCGTTGCATATAAAAAAAAAAAAAAAAAAAAAAAAAAAAAAAAAAGTACATAACCTTCTTTGGTGCACAGTCACGCATTCTGTGCACCCCTATAGACTTCAATGGGGGCGCCTGGAAAAAGTGCATTTTCACGTGACTTCTTGCTTTTCCTCCTCTTAACAGCTAGCTTTTCATTTGCAAAGACAAAAATACTTAAATCACAAAAGCACCTGAAAAATGTGAGGAAAAAAAAAAAAGCCTTCACAATCTCTTGAAAATTTTCACATGTGAATACTGTGCAGTCCTCTAGCCCCCTGCAGACAGTAGTCTGTTTTAGGGTTTACTCAAACCAGTGAAAGAATACTACTCTTTAGAGTGGCTTATACTAGTTAATGGCATAGTATATTTCCTTCCTTCTTTTACAGTGGATCTTGCGGACCAGAATATTATATGTAGTACAAGAACGTTTTAGAAGGACTTTGGGGAGGACAAATGTGGAAGTGTTGACATCTAAATGGGCTGTCATAGCAGTGATCTTCAGCAGGCTTATACAAGCATGCCTGCAGTCCTTGCCCAACCTCTGCACCATGCCTGCAGCCCCAGCCCACAGTCTCTGCCTGCCCCCTACCTGCAGACGTCCTGCCCACCCCCTACACCATGCCTGCAAGCCAGCCCACTGGCTCTACCCAGAACCTGCGTGACATCCTAGCCTGCGGACTCTACCCACCCCCTGCACCCCATGCCCACTGTCTGCCCATCCCCTGCACGATGCCTGCAGTCCCAAGCCACAAACTCTGCCACCCCCTGCACCATGTCCACAGGCTCCATCCACTCCCTGCTACATCATGCCTGCAGTCCCGGCCAGATTCTGCCTGCCCCCTACCTGTAGGCTCTGTTCAACCCCTGCCTGCCCAACAGAAGGCTGAATTCCCAGCCCACTGACACTGCCCATTCCCTGCACCATGACTGCAGTCCCAGCCCATAGACTCCACCTACCCCCTGTACCATGACTGCAGACTCCATCTGCCTGCCCACCCCCTACAGACCCCACTCAGCCCCTGCATCAAGCCTGCAGTCCCAACCCACAGACTCCATCCACCTGCCTGCTTACCCCCATCTCCATGCTCACAGCCTCTGCCCACCCCCAGGCTCTATCCTCCCACAGCCTGCCCACCCTCATTCCCACAGCCCCAGCCAACACGCTGCCCACCCCCTACCTGCAGGCTCCACCCAGCTATCCCAGCCCACAGTTAAAGGCCACAAACTACCTACCCTCTACTCCTTACCTGTAGACTCCACCCACCCCTTGTACCATGCCCACCCCCTGCAACATTTAATGGTACTTATATAGAGCTGTCAATTTACACAGCACTTTACATATATATTGTACATTCACATCAGGCCCTAACCCTCAAGGGGTGTACAATCTAAGGTCCCAAACTCATATTCATACACATATTTATTTCTGGTACTTATATAGTGCCATCAATTTACTCAGCGTATATATATATATATATATATTTATATATACATAAAAAAAAAATCAGGGCCAATTTAGACAGGATCCAATTAACCTACCAGCAGGTCTTTGGAGTGTGTGGGAGAAAACCCACACAGGCACAGGGAGAACATGCAAACTCCAGGCGCAGGTGGTGCCATGGCTGAGATTTGAACCAATGACCCTAGTACTGCCAGGCAGAAGTGCTAACCATTTAGCCACTGTGCTGCCCA